CGTTGTAAACTTTGTTTTCATGCACACGCAATACATTTTTTGCATCGTTATGTTCAATTACGTTCGTGGGAGCTCTGATAAAACAATCTTGGCGTGAGTCACCGTTGATTGGGTTGGCTGTCGTGTAACTTTTATGACTTAAGAAACAAATAGTCTCCATAAAACTGTCTTATCATTGCAACTAGCTTCAGCAGTATTACTACAAGCACTCATGTGATATAAATGATTGAAAACCAAATAACAATGCTCTGAAACAACTGCATGTAATAAATTATACATGTTCGAGGAAGTAGCTCGGAATTTATCGGTTGTGTGAATAAGTGAGTGAGAGGTACATTTTACCCATCGTTTGTCTGAATATTATACTCTGAAGTTTATCGTGTACAATATGGCATCAGATGAAATAATACTTGGGATATTCTTGTCCATATGTCGTTGCGATAATTTCTACATATAAAATCATTACCCTAAACGGTCTTATGTTTACGTAGGTTGGATTTACAACACTAATCGCTGTTTAGAAACTTCGTTTGGTTAGCTTAATGTGTGCTGTTGGCTAATGGTTTCAGTTAAGTACCATTCTTATGACTTAATCTGGATTATGTCTAATGAATTACGACCTAATGTAATTTATTAGACGATTCAAATTTAGACCAAAATAATCTTGTTTCGCTCATTTTACAAAAACTTTGACCCAGTTCACGGAGCATTGAATGAACTCAAAAATTCAACTAGAATATTCATTTGCTCGCTGAAATTATTCACAAACAGATGTAGCGGCGGCATTTAAAAGCGCAAAACGCGAAAAATAACCTCATTCCTGCTTCAAACAGAATAAAAACCAACTTTGCCGGCTCTCAACTGTCTACCAACTGCCATAACTTTGTCCTGATGTTTTCCCTCGCCTCACAATGCATTCATTAGCATATGCCATTTGCAACCAGTCCTCAGTCCCTCTAGGCGTTACAAATGTTCTGTGTTGAAAAAGACCTTGAACCTAAAGGACCTTGTCAGAACCTCTGGTCAAGTTTGTGGTGTGAGGTTTTTAACTCTTCATAATTTGTGTGGGAAATGTAGGCTTAAATTGTTTACTTTACCGTTACAGAGTGGAAAAGTAAATTTCGTCTGACTCAAGGATGTTACAAATATTGATTCTCGACTTAAGAGCCAGTTCCACAGAATTTATTAATGAATCCATTTAGAATTTAATTCATAGTTTATTTTCAATGATTGCGTTTCTGATAACACCACCTTCCATTATTAAATTAATTTCTCTTGAAAAAACACCCGGCTGAATCTGATGCGAAAATCAAAACAGCAGCAATTGTTCAACTTTACACATAATAAGAATAGAATCCTATAGTTCCATGCAAGCAGATACTAGCACAATGGCGGAAGCTTGCGGTCCATGCAAACAAACATAAAGCCACAGCAACATCAGCTAAAATGGCTCTTAATAACCTAGACATAGAAGCCAAACATACAGCAAATGTAAAATTTGCATTTTCTGACAAAGAGTTAAATTACGTACAGTTATTTCAAGCTGGGGAACCTGAGATGGTTGGACTTGTACTAAGATGCTATGTATTGACTACAGTTTCATTAATATAAGAAATTGAGGTGAGACAACTTATTTCATTTTCTTGGAAACTTCTAGTAATTAACTTTAGAAAGCTAACAAAGTTGTGACCTCGAGAAATACTTAGAAGTTGACGTTCTGGAACATCTCACGTTAACTTCATATTTCAAAGTTTAAAGTGGAGAATTGCGTATAACATTTAAATGATAATACAGTACTGGGTGATGAGAATAATAAGACAGAATACATTTGATGAAATGTATCGCTTCTTTACCGCTTTAGAAATCTCACGTTAACCCGGTGTTAAACATGAAAGTAAACTTCAAATTACCGTTGATGATATCGTCGCTAGCCTAATCATTATCACAAACGACGTTAATAGGTCTCAAGGTTTCCCCAAAACTTCCATAATATAGCGGTTGCGTGGCCAAACCAACACGAACCTTAAAATAGATTAAGATTAATATTGAAACTATTTTTAGCTACGTTAGGTCTATTTTCGTTTGCCACGGTAAATAGAACATCATACTATAGCATCATAATATAGCTTGAATGAAATGTTTGCTTTTACAAATACTTTTGCACACAGCGCAGTGAATTCTGCGCATGTTTCAGTTGCTTCTATAGTTTGTTTAATAATTTTGACTTCGTGATTAACAAGAAATTGTGCCACGATTATTATTGATCTTAATTCAAAGTGCGTGTGGCCCCAATATACTTCCTTGGGGCATCCCAGGGGATTACAATTTGTAGCAACTAGCATTGGATGATTTAATGTTACCAATGTCGTAAAAGATGTTGAATAATATTATTGTACGTAACATTTGTGTTGTGGCTAGTACATCTTCAGGAATGTCGGTAAATAAAGTTAATCATACATTTTTCTAGAAAATCGACAGCAGACATTTTAGCACCACTAGATTTCAGTTGCTTACTGCGTTTACGTTGATTCATTGCATTTAGTAATTCAATCATAACATGTGATGTTTTAGAATAGTTTTATTTGTTTATACGTGTACTGAGTACTGAGTCAGAAGCTCACAAAATAGACATAAACACTACAATTATATTCGCATCTAGGCAATATACAGTGTATAAAAAGGTATGATTCACAAACTGTACTGTTGCGTTGCATAAACGTGAAACTTGGCTAGTTTGTTCGTAAAACAACACAGTTTTATTGTTAACAATGCGTTGGAAATCTTGTGTTGTTTTGTTGCGTTTTGTAATCATCATTATAAAACGTTATAATTGCGATATTAAAGTGCGATTAAGAACAATATCAGCTATGTTTCTGGCTATTAGCGACAACGTGGAAGCGAGAAAAACATTTTCTAACTAGTACTTGCATTCAAATGCAGAGTAATATCCTAATTTCATTCTTATTGGTTCTGTTACCAAGTGTTTTATTGTATTCCAATGTATCTATGAGCTAGAATAGAATATAACATTAGTAACTTATCGTATATCATTATCATAATCATGCATTGTATCTATTTTCCTCGTTTATTTCTCACCGTTTAGTTTTCCTGTTGGAATGTTAATTTTATCACAGTCTCTCTCATATCTTTACTTCCAATATTTGACATAGTTTGTACTGTGTCTGTATTATTTAACACTGCGAAAACACTGAGTCATAGGTCTTCGGTGCCATATGTTGCATTGTCGTGATTCGAACCAAGGCCTCGGGCCACGGCTATATTGAAATGTATTCTTAATATCACGATATATTGTTAACTTGTAGTTTACTTTCTATTAGGGATTTGATACGTACTTGAACTATTAATTAGAGGTATGAAAACTATTTCGTCTATTACACATTATCGGTTCTTGAATCGTATAACTCAGAACTTCAAAGTTTAATCGTAATCTTCAGCTGTTTATATATAACCCCAACATTTTATTATCCTTCTACTTTAAACTCCCATAACTTGCGATCGTAACAAAATCCAATTACAACTCGAAAGAATTTATCGTTGAAGTTGAATGTCCTTTTATTGGTATCGATATTATTCGTATTGTGTCGTCTTTGCTTCATGTTACATGTTGATTCAAGTGTCCAGGTGATGGTTCTCTTTTACAGATGTCGCTGCTGCCGCTTTGTGTCGCTACAGGGTTATGGTGAACGGTGCACCGTGTTCCTATAACTAACAATGTTTCATCTCTCTCTTTCCAGATGGACTTTGTTCCTGTCTCGCTCAGCCTGCCGTGCAACGGAATGTTTCTATCATAGAAGTGTTTTGCATTCCTCTTGGTTCTCGGAAACTGTTTCTACATTTTAAATGGAATTGAGATCAGTAGCGTTATTTGTGTTCAGATCATTTTTGCTAGCCATGAGCTATAGAACTTGTATTGTATTTGTATCATGTTTATAGTCTTTCGTAGCTAGATTCCTTTAATAATTAAGGAGCTGTTAGAATATTTAATGTTCTTTGACCGACCTTGGATCGGTTATTTTGGGCGATAATCGATTACTTGTCACTAACTGCCATTACACGTTTCTTCAAAGGTAACATACTGAAATAACTAACTTAACTGTAGTTCTTTTCACAATCAACAATTCCAACAAAATGTGTCAGTAGGATAGGTATCTGTAATCAGTGATAAAGTTATCACTGATTGCAATACACATAGTTTTATTCGGAAGATTTTTTTATTAGCCATTAACATTAGCCTCTTTATTTCACAGTTAGTTAATTTATTTATTGCATGTAACTGATTAGGTTGGTGATAGCCTAATTTGTGGTTCTCTTCTCTATCCTTTTAGAAATAGAGTATCAATTCGTGTGTTTGGCAAATTGCAGCTATTATTTGTTTTGGTAGCCATTCTTATCGAGTAACGAGTCGGTACGATCGTTCAGGGATTTCACTTTTCGTCTTTGTTCATCTGATTATCCTATTATTCGATCACGTAACGTTGCCGTTTCGAATTCTCTTTGTTTTTTTTTAAGTGTTCTTTTAGATTCGGTTTTTTATCGGTTAGGCTTTGTGTAGACTCTCTAGGTTTTATTGAGCAGGTTCTTTTTTTTAAATATTATCATTAGAAAGGGTCCTAGAGTTGAGTCCGTTTTTCCACATTATTAATTTCATTTCTTCAATCTGTTCCTATCCAATTAAGTATTGGTTTTATTTCTTCTGGGTTGAATAGACTAGACAGTTATTGGTCAGTTGATATGCGTCAGTAAGTTAATTTTGTATGCGATTGTTGATTTGACGTCAGCAGGTTATTGATCGTCTTCCACTAATCCGTAACCTTTGTCTGTCTCCATACCTCATTCTAATGGCTCGTTCAATACTGGTATTTAGGCCGAATCCATATGTCATGTCTCGATGTCATGACTAAATTCCGTATAGCCGCTATCTTATCTGATATGGTAAGGACGTCTATACTTAGGTGAATCACATTCAATTCTTTTTTCAGGTATTTTTACATGCTTACAAAATTAAAAATAGTACTTAAAGTGATATAACTGTGATAGAAGTTTAAATTAGTATGCTCTAAAACCTAGTGATAATATCAGTGAAATGTCTTCTTACTAAAATGGAGAGGAAACTGACACGTGAAGATTTCATGAGGAAAAGTTTTCGAGCACCGAAGGTGTCGCCCGCCCCAGAGGGACAGGAGCCTACTGTCAACGGAGCGCCACCACCATCGCCGGTATCTTTAGCCATGTTGGAGAGAAACTCGCAACCACCACAAAGAACCCAGTACGAGATAACATCTTCGGGGATAGCTCCCAAACGACTTGAAATCAATAGAGCTCATCCTATTCACCTCAAGTCATTCCAATCCTCCGAACCTCCAGACGACACTGCACCAATGCCGCCTTCAGACGATGTTCTACGAAAACTCGAACGCCAAATTGGTGAAATGGAGAGAGGTTTAGAGAAAAGGGCACAGAATGGTTCTGTTGGTGTTGACGAAAGAGTCAGGTACGCTGAACATGAGAACCTCTTACGTACTGGTGTATCTTCAGTCGGAGGTGGAGGCTATCTTCCAGCTGATTCTGATACAGAACACGACGTGGTGCCTTTCAATAGAAACGAAAGCACCCGCAGCAGTACTGGTGGTGCTACTCCAGTACCGAGACCAGCCACTCGACTGGCCAGAACAAACTCTGATACTCAACAGTCAGTCGCAGCTACTGCGAGGATCATGAAGAAATTGGCTGATGGTAATAAAGATGAAAAATCTAAGGTTATATCCCGAAAAGCGATACAAGCGAGGATGGAGCGTGTCAAGAACTCTGTCACTGGAAAACACGAGCACAGGGTTCTGGCTGAGCATAGGGTGGATCCACCTTCTCCAAGGACACCGACGTCCCCTATCTCTCCAAGGTCACAGGTAACGATGATTCTTTAAGATATTGTGAATGTCCATACGTAGCGTAACTATATCAACAAGCGTAACTATATCAACAACATGCAACATTAACAATGATTACAATAATGTTCGTTTCACTTTTGACGAAATTAATTTTAGTTTAGAAAGCAGCATATAAAATAAATGTTTTCTAGCGTTTTACAGGCAATTCGTGTTTAATACCTAGATAAAATCAGCTAATAAAAACACCGATTCTCTCCAAAACCGATCGATATTGATCGTAACTTAGAATTTATAATATTTTTATAACGGACATAATTCAAATCACCAGTTTTGACGTGTTTTTATTTGACGTTAAATATGTTCAGCTACCCACACGCGACGTCTCAAATTGTATTAAGTGTTGTGTAATATTTGCTTACCTTGTTACCTAAATTCATTCACACTCGCTTGCGTAATGAGTACAAAAGAGAGGTAGACAGTAATCCTACTTTATTTTCTATTTGTATTAAGATTTTTACCATAAAGAAGTCATCAGAATGTTTAGTGTTATATTGAAGAGGTTTATCTTTATTGATGCGTATTGAATTTTCATTTTTATTTACCTATGTATTGTAAGTGTAATAGAAAACACGTGTTATACTTAGTAGGTTATGTGTGATACATTTCTTTTAGATCTATCCTAAAATAAGTCAGTCACGTTATAGTAAATGTACAACCTTATTTCTGCTACCTGCTGCGAAAAAGTCAATTTGTAACACTTGGCGCTTGGCTCTGACGCAGGCCCAATGACGTCACACTCATATCACGACCGGCTGCCAGCTCCAAATATGTACACGAAAATGTTTAATGGAAGAAATGATTAATTTTTATTGTGTGTTACTTACGTAGGTCAACCTAAACCTATCTTCGTAAAAGAGTTTCAACATTATTGCTTTGTTAATTAGGTCGAAAATCTGTTGAAAACTTTGTGCAATTGAAGTCGGTTTACCTGCTGGCAGGTGTATGTAAATGTCGTAAAAGATAATATTGTTACAACCATTCAAATCAAGACATTTTTCAACAACCGGTACAACTAATTCAGAGTAATATTTTTGTTTCGTACATGCTTAAATCTTCAACAATTTGTACTAATTGGTTTCTTTTTATTCTCTTCGCAGGTAAGCACAAAAACACGATTCCAGTAAAATGGCCAAGTCTACGTACGTACGTAACTGATTGCATTGTAAGGTAAAGTATGCACTTTGTTTCTCTCGATAAATTGCCTGCATTAGCGTTGAATGCTAGAATTAAAATCCTTTTACGATGAAGAAAATTTTATTTAGAGTCGAAATGGGAGGTTGGGATTGGAGGAAAACATTTCAGAACTTACTATACCTATAATAAAGTAATATAAATTGTCGTACGTTGTTACTTTTTATTAAAACACTTTCTTATCGGTATCCACTTTAACGAATAACTTCATAAGAGCTCAATTATTAAAGTATATTATCTTTCAGATGTAAACTTCTAAACACCAATAAAGTCTACAAGATACAGCTTACAATCATAAAACTCAAATATTTAACAACATTACACCTCCTAGATACTAAATATTATCATACAATAATAAAATTAATGTCCTCAGCATCGATTTTGAACCCAGAGACGCCCGATTAAGGACATCGCACGTTATAATGTTTTATGAGAAACCATTCAGTTTTACGAGCTAACACACAAATCTGTCCAAAGTTCTAATAAAAAACGAAATCTTTGCTATTTCAAGGTCGGTTAAAAGTATTTGTAAGCTAAAAGCGATTGAATGATGAGTGAGGAATGCAAAACGCAAGCGGCATAACTCGGTATGCGGAGTCGAAACACTGCTTGTACTAACGAACTGTAGTTTACGTAATTATCATTTTTATTGCTTTGAGGAAGTGTCTAGCTAGCGCATGTATTAGTAATTATTTACATTGAGGCGTTTGTAATGAGGACTATTCTTATTTTACAAGGCAAAGTTATTTTTGTGGTAATGTTATATGTTAGCATAACTATGTTTGCTTGTTCTGTGGTAGAAATTATCAAAGTTTGATGTAACAAGTTAATACAATTGGGGCTCAAAACCAGAATGTTGATGATCTTTTCCTTTGTATGACTGAATCACATTAAGCCTTAAGGCAAAGTAAAATCATTCAATGCACGAGTAGAAAATTGATTTGAAAACATATGTTACGTATACGTGCAGGTATCTTTCAAAGAGTTTTATGTACTAAATCTTAAGCTTCTTTGTCAAAGTAAGGAAATAACGTCTGCTGGCTTCCTATACGGATGGGTGGTTGTTGGAGCATGCAAAAATTGCGCTCGCTCCCGTCGCGTGCCCTGTTTGATAAATCGTTTTGCATAATATACTAACATTATTTATCTCACTGCCTTCGCTTCAAGGCAAATCAAACTAAATTCTTTTGAGGACTTTTTCAACACTTTTGTATTTAAAATCTAAAGATTTAGATCTTATCTATATCTTTCGTGCTTAAACTTGGCAATGTTTTTGTAACTTTGTTTTTATGCATCCTTTTTATCTAGAGTCTATTAAAGTTTTGCTCTATAATTTTCCATTCTCATAGCAACTTGCAGCCACTAAATGAAGTAATGAAGGCTGAAGAAAGATAGTGTATTTGTTATGATAATAGTGAAAAACATCGAACTAGGTCGCTCGATACACCACCGATCAATCCTAGAACCTTGACATCTTGCCAGTTAGTATGCATTGATTGTACTAGTTCTGTTACTAATTGCTTTCAGTACTTATTTAGTTATTTTATGCTTTTAACTTAATTTGTGATTGATAAGTTTCATCGATGTGATAAAGAAGGATCTTTGCTATCACTTCTGCTCAAAACGTGCTTCTTGATTGAGCAGTTTAAGAGTAAAAAAAATAAAACTAACAAATTGAATCTGAGTAATAAAAAAAAGTCGTTCGAGGTAATGCCAAAATCAATGAACAAGTTTTCGCTTACAGCCGTTAAAATATCCGAAAGAAACGATGTTTCTAAAACATAAATAAAATAGCATCATGTTTACCAAAAGTTGATATAGAAAATAAGCGGTAACATGGAGAATTTCCCCAGAATATCCGGGTCGATTTCCACGAAACAGTTTATTAATTTTCAACGCTCGATGAACTAAAGTTCCGCACCGAACTTTGGTGGGCATTACGGCAATAAAGGAAAGAATTTTAAAGCTATATCGACTTTTTTGGCGACCAATAAATTTTCTATGGACCTGATAATGACTGGAGAACTTTTGAAAGCAATTGATTGTTTTTATTAAGACTTTGAAAGTGATCAATGGGAGGATTTTATATTGACTTTAAAGCGGCTACTCGATATGCCTTTTTTGGTTTAGAAAATTGGGTTTTATCTACTGAATAAATATAATATTCAATTCAGATTATCTTCTACTTAGTATGAACACATTATGGATCAAGAGTGACTCATACTTATGTCTAAATTATATGGTAGCTTGATTAAAAAATCTTTGTCTTCAATGCGTGACTAGTTTAATATACCAGTCAATATATCTCCTTTTAGTATGCTTGACAGCCTAACTCTGATACCGTCTTTTTTTATGGGGGGAAAATCATCGAATGACTTACCCCACCTAGGTGAGGCGGGAGGGAGTGTCAGAGTCTTACTGACCAAAAACCACCCTGTTCCTTCTCCTGCACTTCGAGCCGGAGCCCCGGTAACCCGTTAGGTTCTCCGCGACAGACTAGACTGTCTAATATATCAAACAACTACTTGAAAAACACAAAAATTGATTACTTGTCTTACATTGAACTTAGTAATTGTACAAAGGGTTAGGTAAACTAAGAAATCGTGTAACAACCACCTTCAGGCCTGTCATACTTCACTATTATTAATGTTGCTTTTACTTAATTCTGTAATAAGTGTACACACGGCACATGAAGCTAGATAACCAGTATAAATTAACCGTCGAATTTAAAGAAAGATCGTATAAAGCGAGATCACGATAAACTGGTTGTTCACTCGGCTACACAAGCTATGCAATCCAGTATAAACTGTCCGTCGAATATACAGAAAGATCGTGTAAAGCGAGACCTTGATATACTGGTTTCGTACAGCTCGATGTGTTTACAGTGTTCACCATGGTGAAGTTGTGTGTGTTATTTACGGTCCCATAATGGTCTTAGGAAATAGTTTCCACCTCTTCGTGGTTGCTTCGGGAAGGATATTGTGTACGTAGTGTTCCTGTGTCATAAAGTTAAATAACTAATGCATATAGTTCTTAGTACATAGGTACCTACATGGTGTTGAAATGCGTTCTTTAGTTAATTCGTTGATATTGTTTGCGAAACATTCAAGTGTGGGAGAGACATACTTCGGCACGACTAGGCCGGCTCGACCGTAGTTATACCACGGCCTCACAGAAAACCGACGTGAAACAACGCTTGCGTTGTGTTTAAGTAAGACAATTATTTCCTAGCGAAACTAAAATGAAGGTGGAATTTCTATTAAATTTTCATTAATTACTCTTGCACATATTGATTCACTTTAATTTCACAATACACATTAACATATTATCAACACTTAATTATTCTCTAGCATAATAAAGCAATAATTTTAAATCTTTCATTAATTAAATCGTGACGTAACATACGACACCGCATTACCTTACCGCCACACCCACGCACGTCCACGCGTGGGCGTGCCCATAATCATTACAACTGCATACAAGATAACGTTACGTCACAGTTACATTATGACGTCACACCTACATTATGACGTCACACGTCATTGATTACGTCGCGGTTTGTTATGTTGTAGTAGTCGTAAAATGTTGAGTGTTTGGTTCGTTGCACGGATTTAAACTGTTGAAGTTTTCTGCAGTAGTACGGATTTAGATTATTGACAACATACATACATACAGTAATCCCTATTAAAAATATATTTAAATATATAGATATTTAATAACTAGACAGAATTGACTAGAGATTTCTTTTAGGCATCTATTTTTCCTCA